CAGAGTCAGGCCCAAGGTTCCTAATACCTAGCTCAAACTGTTCACAAAAAAATGAATACATACAAACATGGGGAGGGAGGAAGGAGCAGGAAGCTGCTCGATTTAAGAAAAAGAAAACCAGTGAAAGACAACAAATCGTATCAGGTTACTTCACTAAACATGTCAGCTAGTGAAGGGCAAGGAAGTAACTTCATTCCCAATTTCTATATATATATTTTTTCTTTCCTCAAATACATGACAAAAATCAAAACCCCCCAAAAACAATAGTGGTCTTCATCAACTGCAACATGATTTTGTTGAGCGCCATACCTTTTCAAAGGCTACAAATGCATGCTCAGTAGGAGTATCGTTGACGTGGTTGGTCTTTGCTGCCTCGATAAAATAAGCTTGCTTCCTACACTGGCTATATCCTGTTTCTGTATTGATTACATAACATTTCTGCATGTTCTAATATGTAAACATTCTTTAAGCCTAGTTTTTTTTTTTTTTTTTAGTTCTACCACTTTATTGCTACCAACCCATCTCCCTCGACCCTCGTGCACACATGCTCAGCCATGCAACCCCATGGACTGCAGCCCGCCAGGCTCCTCTGTCCATGGACTTTTTCAGGCAAGAATACTGGAGTAGGTTGCCATTTCCTTCCCCACCAATTTCTATATTTTTTATTCCCATGAAATTACTAAGAGCACTTAAAAATTTTTATTTGTTTATTTATTTGGCTGTGCCGGGTCTTAGTTGAGGTATCTGAGATCTTCAATCCTGGTTGCAGAATGCGGGATCTTTAGTTGTGGCTTGTGAACTCTTGGTTGCAGCATGGGGATCTAGTGCCCTGACTAGGGATCCAACCCAGGGACCTGCACTGGGAGTGTGGAGTCTTAGCCACTGGACTACCAGGGAAATCTCTCTGACCACTTTTTGAAATGTACTGTTCCCTGCTTGTGCCCAAAAAATGATGTATGTGTCAATAATTTTAGATTTAATATGTGTAAAATTAAGCATATTGATGAAAAATAGTCTAGTAAATTTTTGCATAGGGAGCATTTAAAAAAACCCTTCATGACTTACTTGATTCATTAATTCATTCAAACATCTATGAGCTATTGCTTCGTAAGTCCCTACTACAAAAACGTCACACTCCAAAACAAGGAGTGATCCCTTGGCACCCACTTTCATTTTTAATAGATGACAACTATGCTGATTTACACATGATAAAAACAGGATGGAGGCCTTTCCAATCCTCCAATCTTAGACTGGAAGGAATGGGTTTTGTTTGAATGAGCAGCTATTAAACCAAATGATTCCTAGCACATTTTTTGCCTTCATCAGTGTATACCACAGTTGGGCTGAGCAACAGCTGTTGCCAAAATAGGCCTTATTTCCTCCCAGTGCTGCTTCAAGGTACAGAACATGAAGGTGTAAATACATCTGTCTTCTGCCATTTGCAGTTCTACTGGCCTTGCGAATGTCTTTGAGTAAGACAGATGGTCCCTGACACTGCATAGGCTTTCAGGGATGTATCTTTCCATAAATAAGAGGGCAGATGTGAAGCGTGGTAAGCACACGTCTATCCCCTGAAGGTTTGGGTTGAGGTTCCCATCTAAACTTGGTTATTTAAATATAGGATCCTAAGCAATTCTTGGAAATCTCTATGCTAGAAATGTATTTTTTAATGTTTATTTTATGACATTATGGCAAATATCCAGGACATGGAATATATATGCAACTAGATATAATATCAGGTGAGTTGGAACTTAATGCCTATAAATGAGTCAGCGCTATGTTCTCTTTCTACATAATTCATGTCAAATATTTCTGTAAATTTTATTTTTTAAATGCTAGAAAATGCATTTCATTGAAGCAAGGTTAGAGTAAATTAGGATTTCCACAATGACCTAGAAAATTAAAAGACTATTTGCTTATCACTCTGGTGACCTTAATGTGGTAATCAAAATCCTCAGGAAACACAATAAAACTTGATGGAAATAATGCAAGTGTGCTAACTGCAGCTTAAGAAATTTTTAAAAATTTAAATAAAAATGAAATGACTATAATCTTGAAGTCTAATGGGAGAAATACAATGATTCAAATCATTAGATGTGCTTTGGGATGTGCTTCAAATCTCAGCATATGTCAAAAATGGAAATTCAAGGAATATCTTACTCTCTCAAAACAAGTACTACTTTTGGTTAGTCAAAACACATGTAGTCAATGAAATTGCTAAGTGTTGAGATAGTAAAACCACAAACTACATTCTGAAAATTCTATGACCAAATAGTACTATAAGAATTATATAGACAAGGACAGAAAAGTCTAGCACGCTGCAGTCCATGGGGTCACAAAGAGTCGGACACGACTTAAAGACTGAACAATAGCAAAGAATTGTAAGTAACGTCACAAAAGCAATTTCTGAATATAGTCAACAAACCTGCAGAAAATGGTTTAAGAGTACTAGGTCTTATAATCTAGCAGTAACCAGCATAAGTTATGAATACTATCATCAAAGTGTTTTTTTGTCACTGTAATCTGTGTTAACAGAAAGAGAAAAAAAGAGCAGTAGGAGGGGAGGGAAAAAAAGAGAGTGGATGGGGTAATTTACGGAGCACTAAAGCTCTGCCACAAGTAAAGAATTCATTACAGACAACAAACATATAGAAGAAAAAAAACTAATAAAATGAGTTTTTGGTGGATGTATATGTATGTGCGTGTGTGTATATGTATGTGCGTGCGTGTATATGGAGTGAGAAAAGATAAATAAGGAAAATTCATTAAACTGTTAACATCTGGAAAATCTGGGGATGCAGCAATTTCCTTTTTTATTAAATTAATTTATTTATTTTAATTGGAGGATAATTCCATTACAATATTGTGATGGTTTTTGCCACACATCGACATGAATCATCCACGGGTGCATCCACGGGTGCATATGTGACCCTCCAACCTGAAACCCCCTCCGACATCCATCCCCAGGAATTCCTTTTACTGGTCTAATAACATTTTTTTTTCCAGTAACTCTAAATGAATCTCTATCAAAATTCTGGAAATTAAAATCCAAGTATTCATTGTGAGACAAATATTAATTTTTCTCTCTAAACACTTTAAGAAAGGACATGCTAAAAAGAATTTTATTTTTTTTTAAAGAATTTTAAAATTTGGCAAAAATAAAAGGGTTTAAGAACTGAGATAAAAGCCCACCAAAAAAATGATACATGTATCGTAAACTAGTATTAATTTCAAAGCACACAATTAAAATTCCTATCACTTAATTCATTAATAAATAATTATTAAATTATCCAGGATACAAGGAACATAATACACATGCTCTAAAAAATCTAGGAACTGTGACCAAGTTTTTAAAAAGAAAAGGAAATATAAAAGTTATCTAAGTTCATACAGTATGGTAGCTTAGGAAGAGACTAGATGATTAATAGTTTCTACCCATCTAAGGACAGACAGAAAAGAATAGCGAGAGACAGTAAAAGAGGTGTGATGGACTTTATCTTTTTATCATGCAAAGTTTCAAAGATCTGCAAAAGTAAACTCACTTTCTAAGAGAGTGTTAGTCGCTTAGTCATAACCAACTCGGTGAGACCCAACAAACTCTAGCCCACCAGGCCCCTCTGTCCATGGGATTCTCCAGGCAAGAATACTGGGGTGGGTGGCCACTCCCTTCTCCCGGGGGTCTTCCCGACCCAGGGATTGAACCTGGGTCTCCTGTACTGCAGGTGGATTCTTTACCATTTCAGCCACCAGGAAGACCCCAGAAAACTCACTTTCTAATTCTCCCCACAAATACTTTGAATTCAATTCTAACATCACACAATTTCAGGCACAGAACTTCAGTCACTATCTTAGAAATATAATTAAAATCACAAGGAACAATTTTGAGTGTTCTTTCACTTATATTCAGGAAAGACAGACCAAAAAAGGTACAATTATGTACTGACGTCTGTGAATGAAAAAATACTAAGATTATGATTCAAGATTGAGTCCCATTTTTATTTGAAACATGTCAGGACGGCCGAGTGGTCTAAGGCGTCAGACTCAAGTTTCTACTTCCCATTTTTATTTGATTCTATATCCCAGAAATGTATCATTATCCAAAGAAAAAAGCCAGCTACCTGTAAATATAAGTTCATAACCCCTTTACTATTCATAGCCACTCTTATTTATTTTAAAATAAAGAAACTAAAAGAGGAAAGGGAAGTAAAAATTCTACTTAAACTACTACTGAAGGGTTAAAAAGCTGAAATCAATTTTAAAAAACAGCCAAATGATTTGTATCACAAGATGCCAGATTTTGGAGTGAGGTTTGCTGTTTCCCAGCTTCTTTTTTTTTCCCCCCTTAATACAATACAACCTCAATTTCTACATTCAAAAAAGGATCACTTTATAGGAAAATACCACTCCACTAGACAGAGGGTCAATTTCAGTGTCACAGTGAAATCTGGAGCTCAAAGGCCTGGTCCCTGAGAATAAGTATTTCTTCTTACAAAAGTATCTCATGTCAGCACTTTACCACCTAGCACAACAATAATGACAGATCATTATATGTAAATGGTACCTCAATATAGACGTTTTTTTCAAAGTATCAGAAGCATGGTAGTCATATTAAGTTCTCTCTCCTTAGTCAAAATTTGGGGGCCATTATAAATCCAGATCATGTCCACAAAAATCAAGAAAATGAAACTGTACTACTTTCGGACAAAGCCACAAGGCAGGAACTACAAGACTGAGTAGATGGATCTGGTTTTCATTAGCCAATACTAGTTTTCACAACTTGTCACTGCTTTGTTTTTTTCTATGACTGTGTGTGTGCATGCTTGTGCATGAACATGTTTGCGCATGTTCTATACTTTGTACTTAATCAGCTGCCATTAAGTCTCATGTGGGCTGGGAATGAAGAACATAATCAAAACCACCCAAAGAAAAAGTACGCTTTATTTTTATGTGTTTAATCCTCTAAAATAGCTATTAAAAAAGTATCAAGCCTGAGGCCTTACCCTGTTCGTTTGGTGATGGTACCAAGTGTCATTGGCTGTTTGATTTGGGCGAGAGGCATCAACACCATCAGGCTGGGGAGAGGAGAGAGGCGAGGGTTGCCAGGGTTGTTGTTGGCAAAATTATTGTAGGAGTCTTGGCTGTTGAGCTTCCCTATAGAGAAAAAAGAAAAGAAAAGCATCACCAAGAGAAATTTCCTTCTCTGACAGGATTTGCACTGGCTCCACTAATCTTTTAAGAAAGTTATCAAAGGCAGACATGCTTCTAAAAGAATCATGACTCTATAGAAGTGGGGAAAAAAAACAAAGGACTCTGGTAATACCAAACAAGACTTGACTGTGAACAGAGACTTTAGTCTTTGAGGATGGAGGCTTGAAGGATACAGAATTGGATAGATGTTAAATGGTTATACAAATAATTGGTATAAAACTGAATTTTATGGTGCTACAAAGAAATAGAGGATAATAAGAGAAAAAAAATGAAAAGGTCTAAATTAGTCTAAAGGAAGCATGGAACATTTCCTTAAACAAGCTTGGGAGTAAGAAGAGGAGAATATTCCAGCCATGGCAACCTATAAAGCCTCAGAGGGCAGAAGAAACATGAGTCACAAGGATGTATATCCACAGAGAACAGCATGAGAGACACAGGATGAAACTGACCAAAATCAACAGGCAAAAATATTGCCTTCCTCCCAAGATGTACCACTATGCACCATAAAATTAAAAATCATGAATCAACCCTTTATTTTATGACCGCATTAATATAAAAAAAATAAAAAGAATTATGGCTCATTAACAACCAGGAAAAACAAACTGAACTTAAATCTGATCTGCATAGAGAGAAATTAGTCTCATCTCACCAATAAGCAAAATTCCTCTCAGGTACTTACCTTTTCTCCCATTCCGTAGCTCTGCATTTTCCAGAATGTTCTATAAATGAAGTATGTACCGTACTGAGTCTTACTTCTTTCACTTACCAGTAAGCATCTGAGATTCAACCACTCTACATTTTCCTACAGGTATCAATTCTTTTCTTTTTATTCCCGAATATAATCTCATTGTATGGAAGTACTACAGTTTGTTTACCCAGTCACTGGCAAAAGGACATTTGATTCCAGCTTTTGGTTATTACAAATAAAGCTGTCATAAACATTTCTACAAAAGTTTTTGTATGAATGTAAATTTTTTTACCGTCAAAAGAGAAAAGGAAAGATACACCAATTTGAATGCAGAGTTCCAAACAACAGCAAGAAGAGATAAGAAAGCCTTCCTCGGTGATCAATGCAAAGAAATAGAGGAAAACAATAGAATGCAAAAGACTAGAGATCTCTTCAAGAATTAGAGATACCAAGGGAACATTTCATGCAAAGATGGGTTCGATAAAGGACAGAAATGGTATGGGCCTAACAGAAGCAGAAGATATTAAGAAGAGGTGGCAAGAATACATAGAAGAACTGTACAAAAAAGATCTTCATGATCCAGATAATCACAATGGTGCGATCGCTCACCGATAGCAAGACATCCTAGAATTTGAAGTCAAGTGGTCCTTAGGAAGCATCACTAAGAACAAAGCTAGTGGAAGTGATGGAATTCCAGTTAAGCTACTTCAAATCCTAAATGATGATGCTGTGAAAGTGCTGCACTCAATATGTCAGCAAATTTGGAAAACTCAGCATTGGCCACAGGACTAGAAAAGGTCAGTTTTCATTCCAATCCCAAAGAAAGGCAATGCCAAAGAATGCTCAAACTATCGCACAATTGCACTCATCTAACACACTAGTAATGTAAATCTCAAAATTCTCCAAGCCAAGTTTTAACAACACGTGAAGCATGAACTTCCAGATGTTCAAGCTGGCTTTAGAAAAGGCAGAGGAACCAGAGATCAAACTGCCAACATCCGCTGGATCATCAAAAAAGCAAAAGAGTTCCAGAAAAATATCTATTTCTGCTTTATTAACTACACCAAAGCCTTTGACTATGTGGGTCACAATAAACTGTGGAAAATTCTGAAAGAGATGGGAATACCAGACCACCTGACCTGCCTCTTGAGAAACCTGTATGCAGGTCAGGAAGCAACAGTTAGACCTAGACATGGAATAACAGACTGATTCCAAATAGGAAAAGGAGAACGTCGAGGCTGTATATTGTCACCCTGCTTATTTAGTTTATATGCAGAGTACATGATGAGAAATGCTGGGCTGGATGAAGCACAAGCTGGAATTAAGACTGCCGGGAGAAATATCAATAACCTCAGGTACACAGATGACACCCCCTTTATGGCAGAAAGTGAAGAAATAAAGAGCCTCTTGATGAAAGTGAAAGAGAAGAGCAAAAAAGTCGGCTTAAAATTCAACATTCAGAAAACTAAGAGAATGGCATCCAGTCCCATCACTTCATGGCAAACAGATGGAGAAACAGTGGAACAGTGGCAGACTTTATTTTGGGGGGCTCCAAAATCACTGCAGATTGTGACTGCAGCCATGAAATAAAAAGATGTTTACTCCTTGGAAGAAAAGTTATGACCAACCTAGACAGCATATTAAAAAGCAGAGACAAGGAAGCTGTGGTACATATACACCATGGAATATTACTCAGCCATTAAAAAGAATTCATTTGAATCAGTTCTAATGAGATGGATGAAACTGGAGCCCATTATACAGAGTGAAGTTAGCTAGAAAGATAAAGAACATTACAGCATACTAACACATATATATGGGATTTAGAAAGATGGTAATGATAACCCTATATGCAAAACAGAAAAAGAGACACAGATGTATAGAACAGACTTTTGGACTCTGTGGGAGAAGGCGAGGGTGGGATGTTTCAAGAGAACAGCATCGAAACATGTATATTATCTATAGTGAAACAGATCACCAGCCCAGGTTGGATGCATGAGACAAGTGCTCGGGCCTGGTGCACTGGGAAGACCCAGAGGGATCAGGTAGAGAGGGAGGTGGGAGGGGGGGATCGGGATGGGGAATACATGTAAATCCATGGCTGATTCATGTCAATGTATGACAAAACCCGCTACAATACTGTAAGGTAATTAGCCTCCAACTAATAAAAATAAATGAAAAAAAAAAAGACAAAAAAAAAAAAAAAGCAGAGACATTACTTTGCCAACAAAGGTCCATCTAGTCAAGGCTATGGTTTTTCCAGTAGTCATGGATGGATGTGAGAGTTGGACTTATAAAGAAAGCTGAGCACCGAAGAACTGATCCTTTTGAACTGTGGTGTTGGAGAAGACTCTTGAGAGTCCCTTGGACTGCAAGAAGCTCAAACCAGTAAATACTAAAGGAAATCAGTCCTGAATGTTCATTGGAAGGACTGATGTTGAAGCTGAAACTCCAATCCTTTGGCCACCTGATGTGAAGAGTTCACTCATTTGAAAAGACCTTGATGCTGGGAAAGATTGAAGGCGAGAGGAGAAGGGGACGACAGAGGATGAGATGGTTGGAGGGCATCACCGACTCAATGGGCAGGAGTTTGAGTAAACTCTGGGAGTTGGTGATGGACAGGGAGGCCTGGCATGCTGCAGTCCATGGGGTCACAAAGAGTCGGACATGACTGAGCGACTGAAGTTTTTAAAAATATATATCTAGGAATGGAGTTGCTGATCATAGAACATGAATGTTTGCATGGAGACAATAACGGTATGTTTAAGGTTATGAGAAAATGCCAAAAAGTTTGACAAAGGAGATGATCTATTTCACATTCCCACCAGCAAAATATGACACTTCCAGTTCTTCTGTATTCACAGTAGAATTTGGTGTTGTCACTCATTTTGATTTCAGCTATTCTGGCCAAATATGCTTAGGTTGCTGCTGTTGTGGTTCATGAACTTATTTGTCATCCATTTATTTTCTTTGGTAAAATACCTATGTAAAGCTATTGCCAATTTTAAGAACTGGGTTAGTATTTTTGCTGAAATATAATTCACACACATAAGATTCATCCTTTTGAAGTATACAGTTCTATGGTGTTTGGTATGTTCTACAGAATGATACTAGGATCGCTATCTAATTTCAGAACATTTTCATCACCCAAAAAGAAAGTCCATACCCTTAGCAGTCACTCTTCTTTTTCCCTACCCATCAGCTTTTGACACAGGAATCTGTCCAGTTTGTATGTATTTGTGTACTCTGGATAGTTCACATAAAGGGAACCATACAATGTGGCCTTTTGTGAGTGCTTTTTTCACTTCTGTTTCCAAAGTTTATCCATGTTGTACCATGTGTCCACAGTTCATTCCTTTTAATGTCTGAATAATATTGCACTGTATGGATATACCACATTTATACCAGCTGATGAATATTTGGGTTGTTTTAACAGGATACTATGAATAACGCTTCTATGAACATTAGTACATAGGTATATTTATGTGGACTTGGGCTTTCAATTTTCTTGGGTACTTATGACTAGGAGTGGGACAGTTAGGTCTACATTTAACCTTTTGAGGAACTGATAAACTAAAGCTACACCAGTGTATGAGGGCCCCAAATTTTCAACCACCTCAACACCACTTGTTATAGTCTATCATTTTTATTTTATCCATCCTAGTGGGTGTGAAGAGGTATCTCATTGGAGTTTTGATTTGCCTTTTTAAAATATCTTTTTCATGTGCATTTTAGTTAATTCACATACATTCTTGGAGAAATGTCTATTCAAAACACTTGCCCAAAATTGAGTTGTCTTTTTATCGTTCAGTCGTAAGAGTTAAGCATATTCTCAGAATGTAAATCCCTTAGCAAAAACATGATTTATAAATATTTTCTCCCTTTCCTATGTCATATTTTCGCTTTCTTCATGGTATGCTTTGAAACATAAAAGTTCTTAACTTTGATGAAGTGTAATTTATCTATATTTTCTTTAGTTGCTTATACTTTTGTTGTCATACCAAAACAAACACTACCCAGTCCAAATATACAAAGATTTATAGCTATGTTTTCTGCAAAGAGTTTTATATTTTTAGCGCTAACATTTAGGTCTCTGACTAATTTTGAATTAATTTTTATAAATCATGTGAGGTAGGGGTTCAACTTCACTTCTTTTGAATGCTGAATATCCACTTGTTCCAGCATCACTTATTGAAAAGATATTCTTTCCCAACCCAGAGTATTATCCTGGCACCCCTGCTGAAAATCAAATGACCAT